GTCATGCTTGCCAAAACCACGTCTTTTGTTTAAGTTACTATAGATTTTGGACATTTTGGACCTTCTACATTATTTCAAGTTATTTCTAAATTTTAAGGTACTTGTCTTTAAAAAACACACCAAAACTTCTATTCCCAAATGACATCGTTTGTAGTTGCGTTACTACCATAATAATTTCATTTCCGAAATTCCTTAACTAACAACTACAATATTTTTAGTTAATTTTTCATATAAAATTTAACGAGCTTGGTTTGATAAATAGCCCCCGAAATTTAAAACATCACTAAAACCGTCGATTTAGATGTTACACTTACCCAAACCACGTATTTACGCAATGGGCTAATGAATTTGAATTTTCTACGGCATTTCTAATGTGCTTTACAACATCCCTAGGGGCGTCGTTTGGGGATAAAAAAAGCACCTCCTTGGGTAGGAATTTTACAGATCAGAAAGGCATGCCCGAAACGTGGGTATAGCCGCAAGTTCAATCGTTCCACTTGTCATGGTTGCCGAGACAAATACCATTAAACACTCATGCAAGAGGTAATAATACAATTTCAAGACAAAATTATCTGGTCTGAATATGCGAAAAATGGAAATCCACTTTTCGATTCTTCAACTCTAAAGAAGTTTGTGAATACGTTGATATATTGAATGAATTTTTGGACAAATTAAATGCCTCTGATAAATGCCCGGATTTAACATGAGGTGACACAATAATCTTGATTTGCTTGTTTCGATTTAAAGACATTTCATTTTGTGAAGGAGGTATTTGGTTCACTCGTATCAAATTAATTCAAAATTAATAATCTCTGCGACAATTATTATTAAAGCTAATAAATAGGCAAATGTGGTTTTTGTTAATAATGATATTATCACCGACTTCTAAACAGTAAACACCTGTTTAAAATGCCGACGCGGCCGACGCAACATGTGTTTTTAATTTTAGACTTGGATAGATAAGATGATTGTAATTGTTTTTGGTTTGGAAAATGATTGATTGAAACTAACGGCAGTTATATGTGTTGAGGTAAATTTACATACATAATATTTAGTCACACTTCACCTATTCTCCAACTCCAAAAACATTTTGCATTGTACGCCCAATGTTTAAATGTAAAAATCCAAATTACTTACTGCATTTTACGCGGTACCTAATCTGTGCTTGTCAAAATTCACCCTTAGCTTTCTTGCTTTCGGTACTAGGCACTCTCCTTCGAACCATTTGAAATTTTTGGACACCATTCCGCACAATATTCACTGCACTACGCGTTAACACGATCGAATTATTTGATCATAAGTTATATTTTTGATGGAGGGGCGGTAACGTAGCAGGTAGAGATTAATCACCTGATGCGCTTATCTGCACGTGCGGCCACTTTTACCTTTCAATAATTGTTTTGCCGTACCGAATGAAGTCGTTCCTGATAAGATATGACATGTAAACTACAATTCTTTAACCCATGCAATTGTGTTCTAAATTAATTTTCATTCTCACATGGAAAAAGTCAAAATCTGACTTTCCTTGTCTACCTTCCAATTGCATTTTGTCACTGAAATACCTTTCCTTGGCTCGTTCAAAAATAGATTTCAGCTTCTAATTGTTTTACTCAATATTGCCACGCAGTATTTGAAATATAACAATCGCAAATATTGTTATTAATTTTAATACCTGTAAGAAGGTGCGTGGCGAAGCGTAGGTTTTTCTATATGTAAAGCGGCGGTAGTAAAGTATTGGAATGGAGTGTCAAAAGCAAGTATGGGAAAGAATTTAAGATTTCGAATGGATTTCTGGGGATTTATAAGAAATGTTATCCGATCTCGGGGATTTCCGTGGATCTCCAGGAAATGACGGGGAGCTTAAGGGATTTCTTTGATCGCTTGTAAAAATTTTTCTATTGGACCGATTTTGTTTGTTCATCTTTTGATCGACGCAGAATTGCGTTTTCTTTAATTCACTGAAGTAGTGTTATTCATAAAATATGGACCGTTTTCGAGTTTTAAGCGAAACACTGAAAAAAGTAGGAACATTTTGAGGTTTTTTGGCTGCCAAAAGTTGTGCCGGGAAAAAATGGGTGTGCACTCTTCAAATCCATGTTATTTGGGCCCAAATGGACCATTTAAAATGATAAAATCGTTTACACTACCTACCTTTTGCAGAAATCGGCCCTTCTGACTGCTACACATACTGGACTATAATTATTTATAGTGGAAGCAGTTTTGCATATTAAGAATAATACATCTATGTTTAACCAGCAATCACATAAACATGACAATAGCACAAGACACAAACTAAACCTGAACACAACATTCTGCAGATGGTGAGTCACACATGGAACTTTATTTCAGGGCCAGTCTCTTTACATAGAAATCTTAGCCCCAGTTGCACCAACAAAATTAACCCTTGCCTAAAGTTAAGTCGAACTTAAAATCTGTGGCAACGATCGAGGTATTTAAGTTATGCTTAACTTTAAGGGATACTTAATTTTGACGGTGCAATTGGCCCTAGTGCCAAAGAACTTCAGGTGTCTTTAAAAAGCTATTTGTTCCGTAATGTATTCTGGTAATATTCCTTTGAAAATTTGTTCAGTCCGTTAAAAATGTAAACTGTATTTAGTTAGTCATGTAATTGTTGATAATTTTGTTTTTCTTTGTATATTGTACCATATTTTTTTGGCGCATGTAACGATAACATTAAATATATTATTAAAAAAAGGTAGAAACATTCCTGTAGGGAAGGGGGAATTCTTTGTAATTTTTTTAACGTTGTAAAGGTAAAAGGACTTATCCCAATAAAATAAGATTCATGTATTTGATTCGGTTAGCGTTAGAAGACTTGAAATTAGTTTTATGTAAGTTCTGATTTAGAATTTTAAATCATCCGCCAAAGTTGCAACCCTCGCAGTAGATGATGCCATTTAAATGAGGATTTGTTATAAATAATTTCTGGAAAAAGTAAAATTTTTATGTGTTGCAAGTTATAGTTACATTTTGTTGTTTATAATGGAAAAATGATATACATCCGCATATTTTCCATCTATAACAAAGACGTAGGTATGTCCCGAGGTATACCTATATCCTATAAGTTTACTTTAACAACTAATGAAAGGTTTAATCAAAATGTTTTCTCACTGTTAGTTCAAAGCAAAGCCCTGTACCCTTTTTATGAAGGGGAGGAGTTGAGTAAATTAACAGGACACAGGACGATTCGCTTATGCAGGACGATCATCGCTTATGCCAGCTTGAGTATCAGTCATCAGGTTTAAAAAGATGGAAAACCATAAACGAAGACATCATGTATGTAATTTCACTTCTCAATCAATTCTAGCCACCTATTTTGTTAAAAAAGCAACTTTCATTGTTTAATATCGTGAAATAGTCTTGTCACGAATTTTGCAGGCAAAATTTTCTTCTGTTTTTATTCCAGTTTGTTGGTTTTTAGCAATTTCAGTCATGGTTATCAAAGTAAGAACGAAAGTACCTAAAATACTATTCCTATAGTTGCGTTACTATCCCGAAATTGTGGAATTAAAAAGTCTTGACAGATTGTTTCTATTGACTTGATGAATAATCACCCCTTTACCATCTCTGTGTTGAATCAGTATAATTAATTGTTCAATATAATTTTTTTTAATTGTACGATTGTGCTTTATCTTTACTTAATGTTAATTGACTTTCTTACGAATATGCCCTACTGACATGCCATAAGTCATAACCCTAGTTGGGGATTATCCCAGCTAATAAATTCCAAATGAAACGAATGAAAAAATACAAGGGCGGCTAATTTTCTAGAAAGACTTTGCCTTATATTCGTATTTTGAACGTATACGAACACAAAGGATCCTAATAAATTTACATTAATGCCATTGTAATTTAACATATTGCCTAGTTATGCTTATACCGTGACAGTAATTCCATTATGTTAAAGTAATGCAAGGAAAGTGTTCACATTTTATAAACGGGGAGTTTTAGGTTTTAAAATGAACATTGAACAATCACAAATGGACTCGATCGTCCAGGATTAGAATTCATTTATAGTTGCCCAAAATTTATTTTCTGTACATACAAAAACTGAAATGTAGTTGCTCAAAATCAGTTAACGTTATTTCTTGTACTTCGACGATATCAGTGTTAAGTGCAGTGATTCAGCGTGTTAGTTTTAAGATTGTGACAGCGTTAAAGTGCTAGTTTTTACGGCTTGTTTAAAGTGAAGCACGCACTTTTTTAAGTGTAATTACTTATCGGATAAAAAGTTATAACTGAAACGGATGTCCCATTACTTTTTCGACTCGAAGCGAGAGGGAGAAACGCAAATGCTTAAAGTGGCGATGTACGGTGCGTGGTTTTGAATATAAAATACGGTTGCATGATTACTCGACTTTTCTGCACAAAATCCCAGCAAACGGCAACCTTGTTATCATAGCTTTTTAACGCTCATATCCGGGCACTTGTTTACTCGAAAAGGGCAAACGATTGATCAGTCGACCTAATTTCGCTACATAATTTACGCTCCTCAACCCTTATCTACCTTTTTTTTCGGCGCTTATCAGAAATGTAAATATACAAGAAGCTCGTTAAAATCTCTTATCGTATCTAATTGAGGGAGATAACCAACTTTAGCAACATGTCGTTTATTTAATTTGCGAGCGAGTCGAAATGAAATTTGGCGTTTGCTTCCGCCGTTGATTTGTGGGTTGAATTTACAACGAAATGTACTGTCGGAACGCGATTTAGTTTCGACACGTCGAAATTCTGGAGGATTGTTTGAATGTCACGCACGTCCATTCAATCTAAATATACGGGGCGTCTGGCAACAGAGACAAATACCTCATCTAGACATTAAACGTCGTGGCGTTGAGCCAGCAATCAAACAAGCATTTGTCTTCGGAATGACGCGACCTGAGCTGAGGAGAAAACCTTCCCGAATGGATTTACCGGCATTCGGGTCTACCGTAAGTGTAATATATATGCGAGGACAATGTTATTTATGGTAGACTTACTTGGATATAGTGCCGTGCTTGTGGTAGGGGTGTACTCGGTTTGCGTTTCCGTCCAGTTGGGATGCTGGGGGGCTCGTTGGGCCTGCCTTACTGCCCGGTGAAAGTTTTCCAGCGAGAGCGTCTAGAGAATGCAGCATGATGCTCTACGGAGCCACTCTATACACAATACTGACTTCACCTGCACGACCAGGTGATAAGATAACACCTGTTATCGGTTCCGAACCATGACACTTGCCGACTTCGGCTGATAACGTCCGAGGCGATTCTAGTCTTTTAATTTTTATCTACCGCATATTTATTTATTATTGTTTTCCGCTTGGGGAGATTTTTCTGCATTGCAGCATCCGCAAGATGAAGAGACACAACTTAGCGGCGTTAGCGAGCGAGGACAACACAGAACAGAACAGCAGCAGAAAGGAGGACTGTGACACTAAACTATACTAGAGCGCCTGGAAAGCATAGAGATTAGTCGCAACTCAATAATAACACACACGTGCGACGGGAGTGAGGAGTGAATTACTCTACGTTCCCATCACACAAGCGGGACCAAACAGAACGAGACGGAACAGGGACAGCACACTGGACATAATTGCGACAATAGTAAAGCAACAAAGAGCGATGATGATACCTGGTCCGGTGGCCGAGTCCCGCGACCGTCGCGGACTGCTTGGTCGTCGAGCGCGCACATACCGACGGACGAGCGTCTCGACGCCTTGCACTGCACTGAGAGGATCTAAGCGACGTCGGACGGCTAGCGCAAGCGCTACTTCTAACGATGTGCGATATGTAATGCATCGACATGAGCGTCTGGAGCGACCAACACGCGTCCCCTGGGCCATCGTAACCGATACGGGGCGGAACGTCCAATTAGCCTGTGCTCGAATATAAATTATAAGAGTGCCGCTGTTCTCACTAATTAGCCCGCCTCGCAAACAATTCTTTCATTCAAAGTCGACGCTATGGCTAACGCGTCCTTCGTCTTCGCGCTGCAAAAGGCATCCCAAAAATAAACACGCTCAACTTTAATACTCATAAAAATTCCACAAATTAAAGCGATGTTTATTTACAACAAAATATAAAATTATTTCACGGCGTCATTATCATTTGTTAAATATTTGCTGTAAGATAAATCCTTGCTTGTGTTTATCAACTAAAAGGCGAGATCTCCGATAAAGTAATTTATGCATAACATAAGTGTAATATTTTAACTCTTTATTACCTCACAAGGGACGCCCTTTGGTTACGTTTAATGTTTTGACTTATTGTCCGATTCATCTTTGCATGTATTTGTGTTTTGAATAAATGAATGTCCAGCAAAATACAAATCCATTAATATGACAAAAAACGCGAAATATATGGTCAAATTTAACTTACGTGAAACAAAAGAAAAAAGATAAACTAACATACAGTAACAGTAACAGTAACATAGTAAAACAATTTGCGGCAGGTATATGAAGAAATTGATGTACAAGAATAAGTATAGAATAGTTGAGGTAGAAAGTTGTCCCGTTTAATCTTTGATTGCAGGGAATAATAATGATTGAATTTTATTTTATACAGGGTGGACCATTAGTGCGTTGGTGGAAGATTGTGAGTTTATTAACGCACATTTTAAAATTCATTCCCGGGGCATGGTGAAGAAATATTTTAACCCAAAATCGTCATGAAATCTTCATTTTCAGGGCTGTCACTTTATCGGTCGCACCTGTCAGTTTTCCAGCCGCACCTATCACATTGCAAATATCTCCGGTCATCACTGACAGATTGACATTAATCAAAAGTTCAATGAAAAATTAAACATTTCTGATGGAATGACTCTTGTGCCCTGGACAAAAGGACAAATGCTAGTTTGGGATGCCACATGCACTGACACTCTTAGCACCATCCCATGTTAATTTATCAAGTAAAACGAGTGGTGCAGTAGCTGAATCTGCGGCAGGTATAAAAATAAGGAAATATAGTTCAATTATAGAACATCAGAACCATATTTTTATACCTTTCGCAGTAAAGACTTTGAGACCTTGGTGCAGAGAGGCTCGTAATTTTGTGGAGTGTTTAGGAAAACGTATTGCCAGTATTACTGGAGAACCCCGAGCTACCAGTTACTTAAGACAAAAAATAAGTATTGCTATACAATGTGGCAATGCGGCAAGTGTAATGGGGACGCTTCCAACTGCGATCCCCATGGAAGAAATTTATTATTTATTATGAATGTTTGATCTTTAGAAATTTTTAATTTTTCATTTGTTTAAATAAAATTTATATTGTGTTCTTATTAAAACAAAAAATTAAAAATTTAAATTTTATATTAAAATACGATTTCGTTTAAAATTTAATACAAAACTTGTCAGTAAAATGACACTACTACACTCGCAAACTAAAGTAATCGGCCCCAAAGGAGCCTCGACTTCAATATTTCCACGCCATTAATGTGCCATTTTCCTGACTGTTATATAAATTACGACTTATTTTAGATATCATGTGCAATACATAGTCACACTAAAATTGACCAAGGAAAGGGGTTACATAAAAAAAATTAAACTGATGTAAATCACCCTGTATAACAAATGCTTTTTCGTTGAAAATATTTTTAGGATCTAACCTTAAAAGTCCTTCAGCATGTGCCCCGACAATGGATTTTAAAGGCGTTTCTTCGAGTGAAGCACATATGTCTTGAGTTGCAGTTTCCCGAGAAATTTTGGTGCAGTCAATTTTTGGTAAAAAAGGAAGGTTATACACTGCCTTTTTTTGAGACCCGAAAAAAAAATTCTCAGATCGACCGGGAAAAAAGATTTTCTTATAGAATGTGGCCTGTAGAATCCACAATTTCAAACAGTTCCAAGATTGGGCTACTAGTTCAAAATTCCAGTTACCTATTTACTGAGAGCACTATCTGTCATTCCTATACCACGGATCATTCCACTTTGGCATTTGAATGACCTCATTAAGGTGCCTCTATGGCAATGTCTGACCACATCCTTCTCAAAGTAAAGCATCCTTTGTTCACGAACTTCTCGTTAGTCCTCTGGTGTCAACACAATAGGGGGATTTTCCATATCCTGTACATATAAATAGCAAGACTACGATAGGCGAAGTGTCCAGCGGTATGAAATGAAGTTATCATTCGCTTGCAGCAATTCAGGTGAGTAAGAAAGTCACCGGATCAACTTAAAAGAAAATTTACTGATCCCCCGTTAACAATTCGACAAATACGTAAGTATAGAAATAATTTTATAGGAAATTTAATTGACTTCCATTTTTTCTAGAGTCCACCGTTTCCGAGGTATAATTAAAAAAGTCAAAAATTGCACCTTTGACCTCCCCTCACATCTTTAGCTCACCCCCCAGGGGCGGAGACTTTTAGTATGTTTACCTACTTACTACTCCCAACAAAGTCCTGAAGTCAAAAAGTATAGCATATTTATTGTATTCTATACCTCTTCCTAAACTTATTGAGTTTGTTACCGAGCTTCTCAAAAGTTTTTGAACTAGCGTGCACTATAGTAATAGATTTTCTAAATCAATTTCAATGGTTTATAGAAACTCAACATGGTTATTTAAAACATAGATCAACTCATACTTCAATATTCCAATTTATAAAAAGTATCACTAATATAATCGAAAATACCAGTATGGCGTTAGCCATGTTTTAGACTTATGTAAAAGCATACGACATACATGGAATATCATCTTGAGAACGTTTTAGTTGTTCAAAAAGGTGTATGGCGAACCATTTAGAAACGAGCTTTTAGAGAATCGTGCAGAGCTCTATTTAGAGAAAAAAATATTTTAACAGTACACGACCTATACTTATTAGAGTGATTAAAAACAAGGAAAAATTCATAGAAAATAACATTAACTGTGTTATCATACAAGATCGCTTGATAGTAATTTCCCAATATATTTTTTAACCCTTACGGAGAAGAATCCCTCATATATGTGTGTACGAATTTTCAACAAACTACCAAAACGAAATTAAACAAATAAAATTCAATGCTCCCTTATTTACGCGTTTTAAATTTATCATACAAACTAAATACAAGAAATAGAATTAAATGAATTAAACAATTACAATAAGAAACTAACTAAATGTTCCCATTCTGTGTCCATTTGAATTTAACAAAATTCCCAGGTCTTCTACCATTTCACAACATATTTTTACACTACAAAGGGCCTCGCTCATCTTCGGCATTGTTGCAAACTAGAGAAACGGTGTCCCCATGTAGTTTACACAACATCATATATACAGGGTTGCTAATGGACATTAATAAAACAAATAAAACTTAGGTGCATCCCTTGTAGGGGATAAGCGCGTTGAAAGAGGGAATTAGAAATTGGGAAATTGAATGATTTAGATAGTTTCTGGTCCACCCTTTACGCATTATTAAGCAAATAATTGCTAGTGGATTTCATTAGTATAATTAGGCACGGAAATAAAAATTTTGATGCGCCTCAAAACGGATACCCCTTGCAGAGTAGGATAAGGATAAGATACGAAGTGCTTAGTAAGAGAAAATTTGCATTAAAAATACGTAACCTGAAATCAGATTGGGGTTAAATATTTATGATCATGTTCGCAGGATTGTCAATGAACCCTTTAAGCATAACTAATCAAAGAAATAACAATGTTAGATGGGCCTTACAATTTACGCCCCTTGCAGTTTATAAGAGAGAAATTCCCTTAAAAATTATGTAATTGCAAATCGGATGTGGATTGAATTTTTTATTCATGTGCACGGATCCGCAAAAGAAGCACTCCCCCAACTCATACAATATCATATCTTATGTGGAGATTGACCTAATTGCGGGCTGTTATCTTAATGGAGTTGTTTCTTGAGTAGAAACGCGTACCGTGCAATAAGTAATGCACGATTCAAATTTTTTGCTGTATTTGGTGCACTACTCTATGGACCATTGGGAATGAGTAAAAAGTTCTATAATAATAATTTGTGCAAATTAAAAACGATTGATCAATATTGGCCATCTCAGTAGAACTTTTGTTCTTGCAAACAGCATATCGTCCTTAGTTCCCCATTAGATGTTGCGTAAAACTTTCGCAATAAAAAATAATGCTATTCCCATACATCACACTATATATTTCGAGCTCTGGGTCAAGTTTGAGTTATTACTGCGCGTTCCCTTCTAATTTATTGTCTTTCGGGTCAAAATATGGCGGAATATAAGGTGTAGATTCATTCATGGGACACTTTACTCTCGTATCTTGGATGTTCTCAAATCCAACGGCTTACAATAACCAATCGTTAAGGAACGTTACCGGAAAATCCTTATTTATTATCTATCCACGCCTGAGTGGATCACCCCATATTTTTCACTCGATAACGATATTCATATCATTGGAAACAAAAAAGGGCAAAAGTTCGGGTGGGTTGAAGTAAATTAACCAATCGCTCTCTTCTTTTAATGTGTAAACCAAAGGTCCAAGACGCATGACGTGTTGTTCCCCGCGCGCTCCATATCGACTTTGAGAAGCGCCCAAAGTTAGTTAGATTCGCGAAATTTCTTTGGGAAAGTCGTCTCAATTACATTTTCGATATTTTCTTGAGGTGAGTGCGCAAACTCTTACAAGCACGCGCCTCTGAAACTTGATAACGTATACTAAACTGGACGTTGACTGTAGCTTTGTAATCAATCACTTGATTAAAGCTACCGGTTATTTATAGGTTGTGTTTCGTAAATCGATAGTGCGAGTAACTTTGTATAAGGGAG